TTTTCCGGAAAAACTTGCCAGCTGTCTACATTGGTCACTTGAATTTCCTGAAAAGCACTGATGATCTCATGTAAGATCGTCAGTGCTTTTCTGGAAAAACTATGCTGCTCCCATTCGGGCAAAAATCTTTTTCTGAAAGACTTTTGCCCAAAAGGGCCAGTGTAGACAGCATAGTACTGTTTTCCGCAAAAAAGCCCCGATCGCGAAAATGGCGATTGGGGCTTTTTTGCGGAAAAGCGCATCTAGATTGGCCACGCTTTTGCAGAAAAGCATCCTGCCAATCTAGACACACTTTTCCGAAAATGCTTTTAACTGAAAAGTTTTCCGTTAAAAGCATTTTCGGAAAATCATGCCAATGTAGACGTAGCCGACAGCTAATGCTGATAGAAAATAGAAGCATAATAATACATAGACAGAAAAATAATAGTGTGGTATAAATGTTTCATTGGTCTAAACTTGAGATGGCTGAGAAAAAGAACGCTGCTTTGCAGGTCACCCCAAAGAAATGCCAAGAAAACTTTATCCTGGACCAAACCATTGTGTGTTCTGTATGGTATGAGAGCCAACAGAGTTCTGTTGTATATAGGACCTGATCCAAACTCACTGAAGTTAAATTCAAGTGAAGGAGGCAAAAGGCTTCTTAGGTGAGCTGGCAAGTAACATGTACCTATGATCTAAGAAGAGAGGAGTCCTACACCTTCTTAGATCTTAACAGTGGACAATTTTTATAACATTCTATAGTTTGTTATCTGTGAGTGAGTTTCTGTGCTTGGTGTCGGTGGCAGAAGTTCACTTTGGAAAAGTTGGTCAACATTGCCTTTAATCTAAGGATAAAAGTAACATGTAATAATTGATAGATCATTTGTCCATAGTCCTGTGGCAGTCTGTATGAATATAAAAAATGTAAGGACATGGACACATTCAATTCAAAATTAATTCTTACTAACTGGAGAATTCCAGAAGCTACTGCATGATAGACAGACATAAGAACATAAGAACATAAGAACGGCCGTACTGGGTCAGACCAAAGGTCCATCTAGCCCAGTATCCTGTCTACCGACAGTGGCCAGCACCAGGTACCCCAGAGAGGGTTGACCGAAGACAATGATCAAGCGATTTGTCTCCTGCCATCCCTCTCCAACCTCTGACAAACAGAGGCCAAGGACACCATTTTATCCCCTGGCTAATAGCCTTTTATGGACCTAACCTCCATGAATTTATCCAGCTTCTCTTTAAACTCTATTATAGTCCTAGCCTTCACCGCCTCCTCTGGCAAGGAGTTCCACAGGTTGACAACACGCTGTGTGAAGAAGAACTTCCTTTTATTAGTTTTAAACCTGCTACCCATTAATTTCATTTTGTGTCCTCTAGTTCTTCTATTATGGGAACTAATAAATAACTTTTCTTTATCAGCCCTCTCCACACCACTCATGATTTTATAGACCTCTATCATATCCCCCCTCAGTCTCCTCTTTTCTAAACTGAAACGTCCCAGTCTCTTTAGCCTCTCCTCATATGGGACCCGCTCCAAACCCCTAATCATTTTAGTTGCCCTTTTCTGAACCCTTTCCAAGGCCAAAATATCTTTTGTTGAGACCCAGCTGAGCCGTGCAGCGCTCGGCCGAACCACCAGGGAGAGAGGGGAAGGGTGGCGGGGTGCTGATGTACAGATAGAATAGTGATAGAGATGCAGCCGTGTTAGTCTGGTCTAGCTAAAACAAAAGACAGGACTATGTAGCACTTTAAAAACGAACAAGATGGTTTATTAGGTGATGAGCTTTCATGGGCCAGACCCACTTCCTCAGATCAATTTGTGGAAGAAAATTGGCACAACCATATATACCAAAGTGATACAATCAAAAAAATGAACACATATGAAACTGACAAATCAAATTTTAGAACAGAGTGGGGTGAGGGGGGAAGGTTAGTGTCTGTGAAGTAATGACATTAGGGGTGATAATAGAAGAAGTGTCTGTGAGGTAATTACATTAGCGGTGATAATTTGGGAAGCTATCTTTGTAATGGGTGAGATAATTAGAATCTTTGTTGAGACCCATACATAAAGTGTCAAATTTAAGCATGAATGACAATTCTGAAGCTTCTCTTTGAAGTCTGGAGTTAAAATCTCTCTGAAGCAATATGCATGTTTTAAGGTCATTGAGGGAATGGTCAGTCTGGCTGAAATGATCCCCCCCCCCCAGCTCTTCTTCCCACCCCCGTTCCAGCCAGCCTTGCCCCCTTCCCCTCCCTAAGTGGCACCTTACCCCGCCCCCCTTCCCTTCCTTTTCCCTCCGTGGTGCGCTGTGCTGCTCCCAGCTGAGCGGCACTCCCGCCGGGCCCCGGAGTGCGAGCAAGTGCCCCTCGCCCCGCCCCCCTCTCCCTCCCTCCCCCTCCGTGGCGCGCTGTGCTGCTCCCAGCTGAGCGGCACTCCCGCCGGGCCCCGGAGTGGGAGCAAGTGGTAGCAAGCGGATCCCAAAGGGCCACTTGCTCCCCTGCCGGGACCCAGCTGAGCCATGCAGCGCTCGGCCGAACCACCAGGGAGAGAGGGGAAGGTTGGCGGGGTGCTGATGTACACAGCCAGGAGGCGTAGCCATGTACGTCAGCATCAGCGTCAGCGTTACATATGCACAGACACTGGGCTACCATTTATATAACAGGCTCGCTATTCCAATGTGCCTGTAAACCTCGTTCCACAAGGATTAAGGGAAGTTTTGGAATAGTGCTCTATTTTGATATTTGGCTCTGTGTAGACAGCACCAAATTTTGAAATACACAAATTGCATAGCTCAAATTGTGTAGCTTATTGCCAGATAAGGGTGCAGTGTAGATACACCCTAAGGGTGCTTGTTACATTCTTGGCACATACATTTATATCGGTGGGAGTGCAGGAATTTTGTTCAGAAGAGATACCAGCGCAGGTTCATTTTTCTTTTTCCTCCAGTAAAGGCAGCAACTGATTGTGACTATTTCAAAGTCTCGGCCTTGGTTCAATGTATAACAAGCACTTATCTTGTCACTTCCCCACTTCTTGCATCCCCGCCTGCTACTGGTGTATTGACTCTCACACTCCTCATTGCTCGCCTTTCATCATGTACTCTCTTGCCCTGCCCTGCCGGTTGCATGGAGAAATCTCCGCAGAGCAAATCAATGGCTCAGCTGAGCTATTGATTCACTCCTGAGAACACCCACTGGTGCTGAGTTAGCTGTTTCACATGCGAAGAACAGAGTGGCAACGAAGAGGGGGAAAAAAAACAGGGAAAAAAATAGAAGTATCAGAAGACTCTGGGGACAACTGGAGATGAGCCTATTCTGGATCCAAACTGTCTCCAAATTTGGGAGCATTTGGCATCAGGATTCTAGACTTGGCTTTCATGGTGTCACATTTTGATTACTGCAACATCCTCCTCTTTGGCTTTGATGAATGTAACCTCACCTGCTCATATCTATTCTCAATGCTGCTGCAAAGATAATTCTCCTAGCTCAGTGGTCCCCAACACGGTGCCCGCGGGCGCCATGGCACCCGTGGGGGCATTTGCATGTGCCCGCCAGGTGCTCGGGGATGGCCTGGCCCCGGGCACATGGCACACGGTAAGCGCCGGCCCACTGCTCTCTCTTTTCCTTCTCCATTCATATTGGACTAGGAAACTGGAGTAAACCCACTCTTCTAAAATACTTTACCTTGAATAGATGGTCACTGAGTGCTAAAGATCCACTGTTGTCCCTGTCTGGCAGAGATGTGACACAGCCCTGCCAGCTCATGATGGATATACACATAGAGATGTATTCACGATACAGTAATTTTCATAGTAGCAGCTTCTTAATCTAATAATGTCAGGATTCATAAATTGTGCAGACAGATCCCTCAAATCATCTGGTTTCATGGAGTTTGATAAAGAATCAAAACAGGATGAGTCTTATTCAAATAGAAGTAATAAATCAGGTATTGAAATTAGAAAAATTCCAGAGACTTTAGAAAAAGCAGACTTATTCTATTCCAAAGGTGGGCCTACTAATAGATTGAGGAAGGAGTTAGGAGGCCATCACTTTGACCGTGTCACCAGGCTCCCCCTTCTCTATGATATCAAACATGAGCTTGATGATCCCATATGGCTTATTCCTGCCCTACCTATTATCCCTTGTTCACTGCTGAAATGTTGACTCCTATCTCTCACGTGCTTGCTTGCTGGCTACTTTTGGAAACTAGCAGTTTGTGCCTTCTTTGCTGCCCCTCATGCCTGGGAGGAGTTCATTACTGTCCTTGCATCTAGCTCATTATTCTCCTTGAAAACTTTCCTGAAAACTCTCCTTTACCCTTATGCCGATAAAAAAGCTGGAGAACAGTTAAGCTGATGGTGCGCTGATATCATTTCTGACGACGCTGACCAGTAGTGTTCCCTGTAAGATGAGCACTTGGGCAGCTGCCCAGCAGAGATTCAGGTGCCGTTCAGCTGATTGGCAGAGCGCCCACAGCCGGCAGCATGTGTTTCTATTTGTGGTGCACATCTGCACATGCTTCAGTCAACATAACAAAATTATTCTGTACCTGAATGGAAGAATTAGAGGGAACATTGATGCTGACCCATATTGCCTCATCATTTCCTTTTACTTCCCCATCTGTTGTCTCTTGGATTAGTACTTGCATTGTAAATGTTTTGGGAAATTGACTTTTTTTTTGGTTCTGGAATTGTGCAGCTCCTAGCACAAAGCGGTCTCTGCCCAAGACTAGGGCTCCTAAGTCCTACTGCAAAAATAATGAAGATAATAATAATTTACTGGGCCTTTTCTGCAATAGGTCTAAGCTCTGGATATTCAGCCCCAAACTCTCCTGAAGATCAAGAAAGTTTGACCAAAGAAAAGCATTTGGAAAACATATAAGAGCAATGCATTCTCTGTGTCTGCCTTCCATTTGTCCACAGACTACTTGAAATATTGTCCAGTGGTGCAAATAAGAGTTAGGGAGATGGAAGCGCTGGATTCCACTCCCATGTCTGTTACTGATTTGTATTCTTGAGACAGGTCGCCTAGGTTCCCATTTTTCAAAGGGACTTCTAATTTTGTGAGTGTTCACATTTCAGGCATGGGGGCTGATTTTCAGGAATGTGTAGCACTCGGTTGGATATTCGGATGCTCGGAATCTCTGAAAATTTAGTTATCAGGAGTCTAAAGCTGAGGCACCTGTAATGAGAAGAAATGTTTGAAAATGTGGATTTGAAAGCCTCAGTTCATCGTGTGTATATTTCTATCTATATATACACACATACATATATATAAAGCTACCACAAAACCAGGGATAACACTTGTCCATCCCACAATCTCTCCTGTTCACTGTTACAGAATATATACAGGCAGTCCCCGGGTTACGTACAAGATAGGGACTGTAGGTTTGTTCTTAAGTTGAATCTGTATGTAAGTCAGAACTGGCGTCCAGATTCAGCCGCTGCTGAAACTGACCGCCACATACATATATATAAAGCTACCACAAAACCAGGGATAACACTTGTCCATCCCACAATCTCTCCTGTTCACTGTTACAGAATATATACAGGCAGTCCCCGGGTTACGTACAAGATAGGGACTGTAGGTTTGTTCTTAAGTTGAATCTGTATGTAAGTCAGAACTGGCGTCCAGATTCAGCCGCTGCTGAAACTGACCGCCATGGGCTAGAGAGGATCTGATTATAGTCCCCGGGCATTAGTCCTGGGTGCTATAATGCCTGGTGAGGGGGCTTCTTCCATTTCTTGTGCAGTTTGACTATCCTTATTTCTCCTATTTATAATGTTAAGGAGTGTGGAGGAGTGGAGTGGGTGGGAGGCTACTACTCAGGGTCCTATGGAAGGTAAATGATGATGTATATTGGAGATGGCATTCATAATCAACCACATTTTATAGTTCACCAGGAAAATCAAAGCCATGTCAGAATTCTGTCTGAAGTTCAGAATGGTATTTCTGGTCAGCGAGAGACCATGGTTTCCTCTCTCTTCCCTTTTCCCCCCCATGAAATATGCTAAGGCTTGGTCAGATTCGGGTCAAACAGAGACTTATAGCTGGGTTTCCCATATCAGTGCCTGAAGCACTAGGCTAATGGTTCTGCCATGGCAAGTGTCTTTTTTTTCCTGTGAAAATTTGGAAAGTGTTAGTTTTGATCTAATTTTTTTCATGAAATTAAATTCTAATTTTCTACCATCCCTAAAGAGTTCTGTGTCTACATCAATCTGTATCTTGGTCTTCATTCTCTATTTGGTGACTATGCCTTCACCTAAAGTTTTATATTAAGATATTGATGCAATAATTAATTGTGCAAAACCATTGTGCAAAACCATCTGATAATATTGTATCAGAGGGGTAGCTCTGTTGGTCTGAATCTGCGACTCCTTGTCTCATCTACTATTGGTGTGCTTGGGTTTCAGCATTTCCAACTTTGTCTTGGAGTTTGCATGAATGACAAATTTTTTTCCCTCACCTAAATGATTGGATGGTTTGGACCCCTGCTCTCTAGTTACTTCTTGTGGAGTTACTGAGCATTGATACTACAGGCAGTCCCCAAGTTACGCGGATCCGACTCCGCACTTACGAATGGGGCTTTCTCGCCCTGGAGCTCGCAGATAGCAATCCGCCACCTCGACCTCCGGGGCGAGAAAGCCCCGTTTGTAAGTGCGGATCCGACGTAAGTTGGGGACTGCCTGTAGCTGATCTCTCAAAGCTTCCACATTATTATAAGCCATTTTTAAAACCAGCTTTGAAAGGGAAGCTGCAGAGCTTAATTTCATTTACAAGTTTGATACCTACAATAGAGGTTTAAACAAAGACCTTAACTGGATTAATCACTACATTCCACATCCTAATGACATAAAAGGCCAAACACCAGATACTTAAGAGTACTTAGAACGGTCTCTATCAGTTTAATTTAGCTTGGAAACTCTAATTGACTATTCTTTTCCCATTTTTTCCCCTCCTTTCTTTTCCCTCCCCATCCCCTCTCTTTCTGTACTATTTATCTGGAACTTGGACCCCTTGAAATCCATTCATCTGAAGAAGTGGGTTGTGCCCATGAAAGCTCATGATACCATCTACAATTTGTGTTAGTCTCTAAGGTGCTGCAGGACTATTTGTTGTTTTTTAAGTTTTTTCTAAAAAGTAATGCTACAGCAACATTGGCAGCTGCTCTTGGAAGCTGTGGAAATAGCGGAGATAATAATTCAGTCTAAGAAGAAGCCTTAAGATATAAACCAAATACCCCAGAATGTGTCTTCATGCCAAATGCAATCCTAAATACATTAGCATCAAGTAATATGTTCCTTCTCCATGTGACACCATCTGTGAATTTCACTTGCTCATGTGTGAGCTCAAAGTAACTGCAAGCTGTGCCTAATTTAAAGGGAGATAATGAAAAGTAGAAACATCACTTCCATTGTAATCACTGTAATGGTCTGGTGGTATCTTCCTAATCTAAGATACCATTCTACAGTGTATTGCATCATCTAATCATGCAGATTGGTGCATATGTCTATGTCCATATTACTACTTATTCTGTGTCTGTAGCCTCTGCCAATCCAGACTCCACTACCAGGTACAAGAGTGGGAATGCTACCAATGCAAGATCTGTCCTTTCTGATGGGGACAGAGTCACTAAATATTTTTTTTTTAGTTTATTTATTTTGGGGGGGGATGGGAAATCCACATGGAGATTTTGTATTTTATAGCATGCTAGTCCCAATAGCTACAAACAGATTCTCCCCCTGCATGCTTAGTCTAATAACAGCAAAAATCGGTTAACACTCCTGCCAGATTTTTTTTTCAATTATTTAAAAGCATCTAATGTTTTTTGACTTGTACTCTGTCCAAATCAGGGAATGATTCAAATCTGGTGCTGATAAGGGCCCTCTAAAAGTATTTAGAGTAGATTCGTTCAACAGAGGAAAAGTAATAGAGATTGGGGGATATGTGGATTCTATGCCACACTGCTAAACCGTCAGACAGTTAGTGTGGTTCCCTTGAAAAGAGAGTATTCTTTTTGAACTTGCCTTTATTTAGCAAGGCAAAGCTAAGGGACAAGTGAGCTGCATCTAGTGAGTCAGAACTTTCTCAAACGCTCATCCATATTTAGCTGCAAATTTACAGAAACCAAGATTCCCTAAGGGTATGTCTACACTGCAGGGTTTTTTGAAAAATGGTTGTTTTTCCAAAAAAAAAACCCCTTCACTTACATCCACAATTGCATTCTTTAAAAAAAAAAAAATCGAAAGAATAGGGTTTTTTCCGACATTGGTAAACCTCTTCCTATGAGGAAGAAGCATTTTTCTGACAGCTCTTTTGGAAAAAGGCACGTGTGGACAGGGAAGAGGGAATTCTTTAGAAAGAAGAGGAAAGAGGAAAAAGCACAGGTGCCCTGGTGGCCACTCCATCCATAGTAATCACAGCTTACATGCGAGATAGCATCCGATCAGTACGGATGCTACCTTTCGAAAAAGCAGATCTCTTTCTCGATGTGCTTTGGCAGTGTGGACGGTCTCTTTTGGAAGTTTTTTTTGGAAGATCTCTTCCAGAAAAGCATCTTCCAGAAGAAGCCTGCAATACAGTAGCACGGCCCCACACAGCTTACAGGGAACTTTGACAGAAACCCTTTTTCGAGTTCTGAAATGCTTGAAGTAGGTTTGTTAGATTGGTGTGTGTGTGTGTGTGTGTGTGCACGTGCACGCGCGGTGGCTCATATTTTGTGGTCAGATCCAGCTTTTAGATTATTCTCCAAACAATTTCTCAGCCTTGCACCATCAATGATGACTGCGGTGGTGGTGGCTCATATTTTGTGGTCAGATCCCGCTTTTAGATTATTCTCCAAACAATTTGTCAGCCTTGCACCATCAATGATGACTGCTGTTTATCACCACCATCTGTCCTAGTCTTTTATGCAACCAGGCGTGTGTATTCTGTGCATGAAAGGTTGGACACCTGTATTCCATAAACAATGGTAGATCAACATTGCCTCGTGTGATTCCTCAAACCAGTCTCATAAGAGTTTAGGTTGCACATTTTAGGTCAAACTCAGTTTAGAAAGCTGTGTTGCCATTACACAGAGTGAGGGGCTATTGCCACACCCGGGGTATTTGACAGAGAATGACAGGTTCAGCTTCAGCCCACTGGACGGTGCAGCAAGAGACTTGTCATCTGAATCTGCTACCTTAAATCTGATAATCTCTCTTCTGGGCCTTCTTGAATACCACTTGCCTCTTGCGAAAGAACAGTTAGTCCAATTCAGTTAAGTGGACTCTGAAGAGGTGTCACATGATCATCCCATCAGTCAAGAACAGCTTAATGTTCCATGCAGTAATGAGGCAAGTTAAACAAGAGGCCAGTCCAAATATCATGCATTTGACACTCCCCTGGATCCTTGATTTTTAAGTCCTCACCGCTCCTTCAGCACTCAGGCACTGATTAGAAGAATTACGATAATTAGATAAGAGAGCCAGACATGCAGGGTGGTGTCACAGCAGGAGTTTGTGTCTTCCACAGAAATCATAGCGTGTAGCGAGTCTTCCAACCACTGGGCCCCCACTTCTGAATCTGTCCTCAGCAGACTGGGGCAATTTCATGCTTAGTAATTTATTCTTTTCCTGTTGCCAGGGGACTTGTCATTGAGGGAAAAGCCAGCTTCTGGCACCGTGGAATAAAAGGAGAATTTATTTTGAAAAACAAGTTCTATTTTTGTTATTGAAATGAGCAGTCTGAGGTACCCTGAGCTCCTGGCTTTGAGGTTTATGAAGCTAACCGTGGCATAAAGGTGTCACGTCCCATCCCAAGAGGCTAAGGCATTTTGCAAGAGCTGGATTCCAGATGTACAGAGTAAGACTGATTTATGTGCCTGACCAAGAAAGGCTCTAATCTCTTTTCAAAAGAAGTTGAGCAACTTGTGTATTTATCCCTCTCTGTAAGTGAGCCAGATAGAAAGTGAGAGAGACTCTCCTTGCCCTGGAGGTGTTGTGGACCAGGGAGGTGTCCAGAGCTGACTTTGCCCTTTACCTTTTCCAGTTTGAGCAGTGGTTCTCAGACTGTGGGTTGGGATACCAAAATGGGTCATGCCCTCTTTTTAAAAGGGTTGCCAGGGTTGATTTTCACTTGCTGGGGCCTGGGGCCAGATCCTGAGCCCCACCTCCTGAAGAAGCTGAAGCCTGAACTTTAAG